ATATATATATATATAAACACACACACATACATACACCCCCCCCCCAAATAAAAGTGACTCTGAATCAGCCACTGCTCTAGGTATTATCCGCGCAAGTTTTCTTGAGTCCTCTCTTCGCTAGTTGCGAGAGGAGTGGGGAGTAGAAAGGAATTTTGCATCAAATTTGATGTTCCTTTTTCGATGCAAAATAGTTTCTATTACATGGGAGCGAACATTCTGGATATCAGATTTTGTCTAAAGCGTTCGTTGCTATCGTTTATTCTTAATTCAACTTATGTTGGCAAAGGAGTGGGGGTAAGTATTCCGGGGCTCATGTAAACGTGCGCGTACTTGACTTGAGGAGAAATCATTTGCTCTAAAACTAGTTGAAAGATGGCACTCGTATCATACATTGTTGAGGGTATATGAAGTTATTGCCTTAAGTTTATTTACCAATATCAGATCCGGAAACAAGAATTTCGAAGGAGATCCGGTTCTCTGCTGAGCTGTGAAATGTTGTTCTCTTAATTGTGAAATGGATTCAGAATAGTAGTCGGGAATCACCTCGCGTATTTTTTAACACGCCGTGAGCGAAACGCAATGCGTCAAGAAAAGATAATATAAATTTTATTTTACCTACTTTGTACAATAGTTAATGGATTCCAGTTAGTATCGTATTGTTTGTTAATAATATACAAATACGTCGTCTACACGAAAGATCATTGCGAATCGTTACAGATGTTTCGCATATGCTTCGCGATGTTTCGGACATGCTTTGCAATGTTTCGCATACTGTGAAAAAAATAGCAGTTTCACACGCGAAAAAAAAACACGAGAAACCGTTTCGCGCACAGCGTGTTAAAAATATTATTATTTTTTCTACCTAATAATCTCCCTTTTAAATAAAAGGGATATGCCTACGAATTCAAAAATTCTAGATCATCTCCTAGATCAGAATAGTATTATTCGTTCGGCAGGCTGAGACACGCACTAATTTCTTGTGAAACCAAAAACAAATTATTTTTCCTCGAGAACAAGCTTTTACCAGGTTTCTTATTACACTGGTGCATATTATTTGCATTCTGGGTGTCAATTGTTAGTGACCCAGATAAGTCAAAGATTTTATATTTGTTCTATTCAAATTCCTAATGAACGACGTAATTCAACATTGATTAACCTGTATTAAATGGCATGCAAAACCGACCCCACAAACTATCAGCCTTCTTCCCGGCTCAAGTATTACATTTTCGAAGCCATGGGAATTTACCTCAGTAGATTATTGTGGTCTCTTTCTCTCAAAGCCCGTCATCGGCAGATGCAGGGCACGTTTCAAATCATGAACTGAAATGTTTGGCATCCTCTAAGGCAATTCACAAAAACATAGTAGATAATTTACTACAAATGAATTCATAGCTTCTCTAAAAATATTAGGCTCCCGCACGAGTCCAGAATACTATACTCTGTCAGTATAGTGATAATGTAAGAACCTTTGTGAAGGCCAATAGTCAGCTGTGACGTAGTGAAATAAGAAATAAATTTCAATAACAAAATAATAATAATATATTCAAAGAATATGTACAAGTTACAATGAATTGCTAATATTAAAACACTCCGGCAACCTTTTCCTTTCAGAACACTGCTTTACCGCAGAAAATACAAGCCACGCGTGATGCGCGGTGTCGGACCTCCGTCCCGTGACAATTACCGTCACTTGGCCTGACGCCAAAATTTAACCCGGTCGTGGCGACCGTGTGCCTACAGCACGCGAGATTGTCTGGCCCTTACTCTCCGGACATCTCGCCCACACTCCTACACCCCTTGTACACACGTACAAGCTTTCCGATGCGAACTGAATGAGAGCGCGGGCGCAGATGGCGCCGCGTTAAATAGTTGAGGCTGACACCCCCACCACTGTTCCATAGATAGGCTCGCCGGCTGGCGCGAGGCTCGCAGGCCAGCCTTGGTTTACGCCCCCACACGGATTCTTAGGGTTGGCTGCCTGCTTCCGTAAACGAGGCTCGCCGGCAGCATCCTCGGAGTTTACAGCCTCCGGTATTTTTGGCTCTGCGGCACTACCTGAGTCAACCGCACGAGCGCAAACTCCCGGATGTTCAGGCTCAACCCCTTCCTCCCCCGCAGCGTACTTTCACCGACCTATCGGTTCTGGCCCTCGTGTTAACGACGCCACACAGCTCGCCGAACTGTGTAAGATAAGACTTTTTTTAATTAACTCCGGAATAATCGATTTGGAAAACTTTTCTTGCCATGCAGGGATGGGAATGTCTATTTGTTCTCTAAGTTCATTATTTCCCAATGTATTGACTGAAACAGCCGTAGATTCTTTGAAGTTTCATTTAAAACGCTCCATTATGCAAATTTGTATTTCACTTTCTGAAATCCATAGTACACCGCTAGCTCATAATGAGCACATTTTAAACTCACGGTTCCTTGCTACCGTGTCTGATTCTGAAGCCTTTACTTTAACTCCTAATTATTTAACATAGTGGACTCCGGTTATAGTGAATTTCCGTGGACTAACATTTTTGGTTCACTGTATCATAGGTTTACTATATTCGATGATGTCAAAATCAAATAGAATTTCTCCACAATCACAACAAAATCCATTAATAGCACCAACTGAAAATTTCAACATATTTATTTCACCTTAAAAAATAAATTATTTTCAGTTTCGTACATTTTTTATTAGTAATTTCTCTAGATCCTTCTCGAGTTAGTGCTCTCTCCATACTTGATCCTGCATTGTCTATTTCCTCTAAGTCAGTCTTGATACGGTTCAATGCCTCTTGCACTCTTGGAACACCGTCCCACTCTCCGAAGGCCCTTTTACTCGCCTCACAACATACGAGATCTTTTTGGTAGCGGCATGGCTAATGAAACTTATTGCTGAATGAAACATTCCGGCTCCGATACCTCTACCTCAAGGAAGACTTCGTCGGTTATGATTTTTAGCCGACGATATTTTTTTCCAAACTTCCTAGATTCGGAATTTGTGGCACTGAGGTGATAATTTTTTTTCAGGAAGGAATTAATTTCCAGGACATATTTCCTACGTTCACTATAGACGATGATAATGTTCACTATAACCGAATCTTCTTATGCTTATTTGTAATGTACGTGAAACGGGACCTGTGACATCGGTTCACTACGATAATTCGTATAACCGGAGTCCACTATACCTTCGCATACACTCAACTTATTAGCCTTTGATTAAGAAAAAAAGCCAAAATTTTGTTAAACCACCTACAGCCACATTCATGCCGTAAAGAAATAGTTAAATGCAATTCAGAGATTTTGAACACAAGTTATCTTACGACCTTACAAACCCGCACAAAATGGAAATCGGTTTCCCGAGACTTTTAGGAGGGAGATTTGGTTATCCTTATTGCGGATTTACTCCCACCTCTGTGAAATGCTTTATTCCCACTCTGTAGAAATCACTGAGTCTATTCCTGATTTCACAGGCAATGATCGAAGAGTCCAGGTACAAACTCTTCAGGTACGACTACAAGACTGGTATAAAAATTCTGTATTCTTCCGAAGAAACTTTAATATGAAATTGAAGTTGCCCTCAGGGGCACAGATGCGACGGGACACGGCGTTCCCGGGGTACGATATCTATCCGAGACACGCCCTAGGCTAACATCTTTCTGGCATGATGCTTGCCTCATTCGAATAAAAACAAGTAAGCAGGTACTGATCTGCATTCTTACTTCATGTCGTTCTACAACTCTCTTATGTCATTATTTCGTTCCCCTTGACGTCCATGACTCTTCTTGGAATTAAAATGATAACTCCACTCATTTGAATGGATTTAGGCCTATCCTACTCGGCAGGTTTGTTTATAAATACTCGGCTCGAAACGTCGATTGATTGATGACTGATTCCGGGTTCAGTCCCGTAAGTATACTGCATATTTTTATCACTGGCGGTGGCAGTGATCTTCTCCCGCTAGATGGCGAGATCTATCAACGACATACCAGTCGGCTTCCACGGTTTTCCTCAACAAGGCATTTTGTGATTGTGCTAATAATTGTTAAATTTTTAGTTAAAACATTATGCTTCAACAACTTGTAAAAATTGGTGGGATTGAGTAATCCCCTTGAAGATGATTCATCTCTCATTTATTATGACTACTGGTTCTTATAAAACATTTTATTAAAATAGAAAACCTAATTGGATTAATATACCTAATTTCAATTGAGGTGAATTGATTCTTTATGACGCGACGGCCTTATACACTGACATCACCTCAAACCAATTCGACTTTTTGTTTCAATTTGCCAAAATATAGAGGGTGCGATGCAAATGGAACCAGAACCACTTTCTTTAGTTAAAAAAATGAAAAAGAAAGAAAAAAGTGGATCCGTTTCTGAAAAAATAATAGTTTAAAATTTAAAACACCAAATTACACAAAAATGCTCCTATTTTCTAAAAAAAATCATGGTATTTTTTGAAGATGTGTTTTTAATAAACACATTTCATTAAGAATAAAAATTATCTTCATAATTGGAGATTCATGAAGACTCCAAAAATATTTTAAATGTTTGCAATTTTCGATTTATCGATTGAGACACGCTCTAGCGTCCTTCACGCTATCCAAGGTCAAAATTTAATTTAAAAATGATTGCTGTTTTTGAGAAAAATGTTTAAAATTGATATTCCCAAATCTATCTGGCATCCCCTTGAATTTGATTTTTGGGTGTATTTTACATGAAGCCCCTGGGACATTTTCCAAATTTTCAAAAAAAATATGGCTCCAAATTGTTTGATTAAATTTTTTTGTCGGATAGCGTAACAGAAATATGCAGTTCGCAAGTTCGTTAAAAAACATGTTTTTTTCGAAAAGTACAAAGTTTTTCACTTAAATGTTTCTTAACGATATATTTTGAAATACGGTCACGTAACATTTTTTGAAAATGTGAGTACTTTTCGCGTAAAATATAGGCAATTTTTAATTTTGTTTAATCTTATCTCAAAAGCGGCACCAATTTTTTAAATGAAATCCTCACCTTGGATAGAATATAAAACGCTTAAGAGAATGGTGCAGACCTCGTTCGTTAAAAATTTTGGTTTTTGAAATTTGCAAAAATTCAAAGTTTTTTTGGGGTCTTCCTGCAATATAATTATGAAGATAAACATTTTCTTAATAAAATATTTATTTTTAATTAATTATTTTTAATTAATTAATAAAATAATTTAATTTTTTATTAATTTTAACCTTAGCATAAAGGACGTTGAAGAGATGGGTGCTGGTCTCAAGTTCGTTAAAATTCCCGATATTCGAAAGTAAAAAAATTAAAAAAATAAATAAATTAATTAATAAAATGTGGGTCTTTTTACATCTGCAACGAAGATACAATTTGTTTGCTTAATGAAATGTGTTCATCAAAAACAGATCTTGAAATAAAGCCATGTTGAATTTTTCGATCAATTTTGCGTCATTTGGCGTCAAACATAGTCGCGCGCTTCAAATTTGCTGCGCTTCGTGAACGTAATTTGGAATGTACTTGGTTGGCAGTTGGATGCTAAGTAAGTTAAATACATTTTATATTTCTTTGTTCGTTTCTTACATTCGATCTTTTGTCATACGTTCACAAATTAATCTTTTAGAAATTATTTAAAAGATATTTGATAGTCAATATTTTTTGTCCGTGTTTCAAGGATTTTATTTGCATTCTCAATGCATTGATGTATTTTCATTCAAGCAATCCGCATGCTTTACTTAAAATGAACCCAATTAGAGTATTTTCTGTTAAAAATACGTTTTAAATGCAATACGAAAGAAAAGCTAAACTTAAAGGAATATCAGATTGGAAAGCATCACTGGCATTCCACCCCGCGAGACGGCAGCTGTAGTTCTGTAAATTCCGTCTAATTGTTGGGGCATGATTTAGTGTACCTTTGAAACGCAGTAATAATAATTAATTGTAACTGCTTAAACATACAGCTAAATCATGTCCTAACAACAAGACATCATATATCAACATTAATTCGACAATTATTGTCGAATTTGAGTTGTTATTGGCTTGAAAATATTTAGTTTTCGTACAATTTATGAGTTTTACAAAATATGACTGAGATGTGTTAATTCGGAGAGAAATTGCGGTATAAATAGTATTACGGAATTATCACTAAGGGCGAGAACGTATGTGCTGTCTTAAGTACCAGTAGTTGGGTATGAAAACGCATGTGACTGTAGCTAATAGAATACCCACTGTTTTGAATTACTGTATTGACTCCGACAGCGGAAGCCTACGCCAAGTAACGCGATCGTCTGTCTCTGTCAGTCGAATTTCCTTGTCTTGGTCAACGCTAGCCAACGCTGGCCTAAACAACGCAGACACCTTTCTCCCAAATTTATATTTTCCCGTTTCTTTCTTTCTTTTCCAGTAGTGGGTCCATAATTTTCCATTGTTTTTGCTGTTTAGGACACTTTCCGAATGATACGACACAGTCACACAATCAGTGCAACAATCCAACAAATAAAGTAATTTGCAATGTAAAATATAATTTGTGTGTTAATAGCCCTTTTTGTTCTAAAAATTATACAATTATAATATTATGTTTTGATTTGATCATGTAATGATTTCAACTGTCGAGTTGTTATTTCACAAAAATAAATAAATAAATAAATAAATAAATAAATAAATAAATAAATAAATAAATAAATAAATAAAAAAAAATAAAAACAGAAAAATTAATCATACACCTTCTACAGAATACGACCTGATAGAAATTAGCATACTTATTGAAGGATTAAAATTTCTTCCAATTTTTACTTTTAATTTTATGGGATTTGAGATTTAATTCTCGTTAAGATCTGGCCCAAGATTATTTTCCCCAAGATGAACGCTTTAGCTAATTAGATGTACTTAATATCACCTTTTGAGAATACTTTGATTTTCAGTACTGTGCTTCAGGCTTTGATTACCCAAGCCACAATAAGCTGAATGAAAAACAATTATCTAATTACCGAATTAAATTCCAGCAGAGTTTATAAAGAAAGTGCGCTAGTGACCAGAAAAGCAGAGATCAAAAATTGAATTCGTTTTGATCTAAGTCGTGGGAGAAAAATCAATACCCAAATTTCATCACTACATTTTGAGTTTTATTGCAGGTGTTTTGCCAAAAGTTCGTAGCAAAATAAAGAAACCAGATTCTTTGTATCATTTTATTCCCGCCTGTTATTTGTCGCTTCAATTCAATAGTTATTCCTTGCCATAAAGCGTGCATAGAAAATTTAGATTACTGATTTGTTTGAATTTGGTAGATTGATTCGAAGTTGTTTTAAGTCTCTCCACCATGTATAGATCACAATTAATAAATATATGTAGTTTAAAGTTTGTATCGTCTGATGAATGACATTTTAAGTTCGGTTGCTTAAACCAAATGAACATTAATGATTTGTGTTCTCACTCATTTGACCAATCAGGACATGTCGAGGATTTCAACATGGCGTGATTCGTGCTGTCAAGTTGATATTTTACAAAAACATTAGAGAAATGTAATTTTGTGAAATATTTTTGGCTCACCCGATGGAGAAATTTGAAACTAGAGATTTATTCTCTATACTTTCACAAGCCTGGTATGTTGCAAAATCTTTTAATTTTTGGTTATGGTTTCTCAGGGTCCTCGATTCCAAGCGTGGGCGATGTTTATTTCTATTCTGTCATGCGTCCCGGCAATAAGGCAAAGAGACGTAACTGTTTATTGCTTGAGAAGTGACCATCATTTTGAAGTCTCTGTCGCCTTGTTTAAAAATATGTCAGGTTGTGATTTTTAAAGAATGGATATGAAAATAAATGACAACTCTTGAGACATTTTCTCATTACCTGTCGTATGTTCTAATGACAATAATAAAATAGGTTATTATTGGTATGACATTTCCGAAGGAAAGTAGTTAATAATGTTTGTTGATTGAAGAGAATCTGTGAGGAATTCTTTACTCATGAAAACTTTAAAGAAAATTTAAAATAAAAAATAGAATTGAGCCACTTGTGTTGATCATTTTATTGATTCCACATTGTTGTATTGGGAACAAGTGGGTGTATTTGAAACTTGTATATTATAGATTTATTGTTGTGGCATATTCATGATGTAATTGTGTAAGCAGTTAATGATTAACTTTGCATATTTTGAGTTTAAAAGTATTGTACGTGCTTCAGATTTGTAACAGAATTCATGACATTAACTTCAATGGTTTGTTTTGCAGAAATTTTGCCTCTCTCAAGGAATTGTGGATGAATGCAATGATCTTCTATAGGGTACTTGGCCATATGCTATAATGATGAAGTGGGGAGTTCAAGAAAAAGATTTTTTTATATCCGTTTTAGTGCTACTCTATTCAATACAAGTAATTGTGTGTATGGAAGATGATACACCTTGTCCAGTAATGTGCAAGTGCTCTAAAACATCCACCAGAGTAAAAATAAAATGCATGAAAGTTGAAAGAATGGAAGAGCTTGACCTTCAGAAAGCCCCATCAAATGTCATCCAGCTGTAAGAGTATTTCCTTTTAATTTCCATTACAATGAATCTTAATATATGATATATTTTAATATGATATCATGTTTATTTTATCTGCAGAGATTTGTCAGAAAATTTTTTGACAAAGATTCCTTCTGAATCTTTCGCATTTTCCAGTATGAAACTTTTACAAAAGCTGTAAGTTCACTTTCATGAATTACTATGCTATGCTGTTCTTTCTTCTATTGTTTTGGAAATTGTGCTGAATTCAACATGCATTTTTTCAGAAACTTGAGCAGAAACGTCATAGAATTTATAGATTCTGATGCTTTTGGAAATCTTACCAATTTAAAACGTTTGTAAGTATAAATAAATTTTGAAAGTACAAAACTAAACTCTGTTATTCTAACAAATTATTTGATCAAAAATGTAATTCTTTCTTTTTTATTTTTAGAGATCTATCACATAATAAGTTGCAGAATCTTGGCAGTTCAGTATTTAATGGTCTAGAAAGTTTAGAACGTCTGTGAGTAAAAAGACTAATGCAAAACGGTTTTGATGTAGAAATTATTTTTCATAATATAATTGTTTTACTTGAATTTCCTTTTCTTTGCATTGAAGGTCTGTGAGCCAGAATCACTTCGTACGAATTTCCGAAGGCTCTTTTGACCCACTCTTGTCATTGAAACAGCTGTAAGTAGCACATGTGTAGTACTATTTAGATGTATGTTTTATGATTTTGGTTTAACCCAATGGTAATTGTGATTCTAGGGATTTGTCTGGAAATCCTTTACATTGTGATTGCAAGTTATTGTGGCTCATAGAATGGATCCAGAATTCCTCAGTTAAACTTGCTCCTTCACCCAAATGTTCATCTCCTAGTTCTCTCAGAGGACAGCCAATTCGAAAATTATCTACAGAGCATGGTGTACTGTGCGATTTATCTTTAGGTTCTTCAGGGCAACAATTGGAACTTAAACCAGCTCACAATCAGGTCTGACAAATTTAATGAATACATATTTGTAATTAATCTTTAATTAATAGAATCTGACTGAAATAGTCTTTCTTGCAGGTTGTATTTGAAGGAGATCCTCTTCAGTTACGATGTAGTGTACCTAGTATATTTGAAAACAGAAATGAAGTCAGACTGACATGGCTTTGGGGTAGTCAAGATGCTCTTTCTGCATTTGAAGAAATTGAAATTGAAGATCAATATTATTCTGATAGAGGTCTTATAGAAAGGTGTGTATTATCAAATATCCCTTAAGATTTGAATGGCAACACTTAATAATTCCAAAATAGTTCTCTCTCTTTGGAGAATTAACAGCATAAGGTTTTTGATCTTGGATCAAAATGATACATGCAGTTATAGGGTTAACTGTATTGTAAATGTTCAAAAATAAATATATTTTATTTTGATCTTTTGATAACAAAGAAATTATTTTGTATATTTTTTTTCGTGGCCTGTAAGTGGACACCATACTTTCAAGAGGAAAGTGTAAGTAGAAAATATCAGGATGCCATTACATATTTATTCAGAATGCAATTTCTACAATTACTATGCTGTTTCAAGTGTATATACGAAACCAAGCATATAAACCAGTTTTTGTACTCACTTGCATTAATGTTTAGTTTTTTATGTGAAAATTCCCAGAAACATTAATTAAAGTCTTATAGCTGAATTTCTGGCTGTTCATAATTATCATTTTTTCTCCATTATTTGTATTTCCTTTTTCCTTCTCTTCGAAAATCACATACAAATCTTACTGTTTTTGAGTAGCATTTGTTGGTGTTGTTTATTATTTCATTTATTTGATTGTTTATGTAAAACAATAATGGCTTATTCTTCGTTCAGGAACCCTTTTCATTTGGTCAAATGCAATATATGCAAAGTAAATATTGAATTGCTAAATGCAATTTTTACCCTTTAATTTTCTAAAACAAGTTGTGCCTTCTACATCATAAAGAAACATAAAGAATCATAGAAGATAGCTATGATGATAGTGAACACTGAAAAACAAAATGTTTATTAATCTTTATTTATTGTTACTGAAACATTTTTTTCAAATATTCTATAAACTTGTCAGTAAATGCCATTTTCTTTTTTGGTCAACTTGTATGAAATAATGAATAAGATCATGAATAAATAGGTCATGTGGCATTTCTTGGTATGCAGAGTAATTTTTTTTTACAGTTCACTTACAATAAAGCATCTTCTTCAAGAACATAGTGGACAATGGTTTTGTCAACTTACTTCTGAATATGGTAATCACACCCAGGCAATTAGGGTAATTGTAATATCTGATAAAACTCAATATTGCCCACAAAAAGGTTAGGGTCATATTTTTTATTTGTAATTTTAATTACATGCATGGTTTTATTTTTTATAAGAGTTGTTTTTAATTCGGTATGAAACTGTTTGCAGAAACTGTTACTAACAAAGGACGCTTCTTATGGCCCAAAACTGTTGTTGGCTTTACTGTTGAATTACCTTGCAAACCTCAAGAACCTGGTGTAGCTACAACATTGAAAGCACAGTATACTTGCTCTTCTGAGGGTAATTGGGATTACTTGAACACTAGTGTCTGTCCTTACACTAGTGAAACTACAAAAATTTTAGAGCAGTTTTCTCATGTTAATCTGAGTATTTCTACCGAAGCTATTTTAAAAAGTGCTACTAGATTAAAAAATTTCATTGGTAATGGCAAGCAACTACATGATAAAATGGATATTGTTTTCATATCTAAAGTGATAGAAAACTATATAATGTATATAACTAAAGAGAAAGAGGTAAGCTGTGAAATCACCACTACATTACAAAATATTTATTTGGAGTTAATATTAGTATTATTCTTAGTGTTCTGTTCTATACTAATGGTAAAACAGTTGTGGAAATTATAGCAAAGTATATATGTGACTTTTATTAAGGGCTTTTTTTTTTTTCTTTTTTTTCATTCTGCTTCTAAATAGTGCATGTGTGTAGTATGAATCATTTCAGCTGGACAAAATAACATATCAGTCTATTCCTCAAAATATTAGCAATAAATAATTCCTTTACCATTTTGGCTGCAGAAACATATATTTCCTTAATTTCCTTGCCTTGCCTTGCCTTGTAATTTTCCAATTTCATTGCAACCTGTATGTCATTTGAACTTCAAACACATTTCCATAACCCAAAGTACTACAGTAGATTTAGGCAATTCCCTGAATTAACTGTACAATTAGTCATTAATAAAAACTTCAAAAAAATAAAATCCATATAGAAGAGCTCATTTCCATCTATTTATTATCCGTCCAAACTTTTTTATTCATTGCATATTACTGAAGTAGACTTGAAAGGAGAAATTAAAATAATTGTGAAGAAAACCTCTTATTTCATTTGGATGTTTACAAAAATGTATAGACTGATTTGTAGATCAAATAGGTTTCGTATTTTTCAGTATAGGTCTGCTCTTGAAAACATAATATTTACCATTTGCAGATAATTAAATTGATAGTCTAGTTACACCAAAAACAATAAGTATTTTTTTTATGAGCATATTTGCATATTATTGTATCATAGAGCCTAGATATTAGCAATTAATTCTTAAACATCTGTGTTCTTAACTTGAAAGTTATACAGAATAATGAAATACTGGGAGAGGATGTATGAATATTTGATTCACACAATGCAGTGTAATTCACCAAAAGATTTAATGTTGATTTAACTTCACATGGGATTAATATTATCTTTAAAGGAAAGGGAAAAAAAAAAAAAAATGAAAGTTTAACAGAAAGGGGAGAAAAATTACTACCTGAGAACTTAGCATTTACACTTAATACTTTGAGTTTGCTTGCTAATCAATAACAAGAACTTTAAATGGAATTAACATTTTTGCTCAGTATGTTTAATATTCTAGTTATTTTTGTTTGCATTTTTTTCCTTCAAAAAAGAAGTGATATTGAAATCAATTTTGTTTCAATTGTAGTAACTATTTTTTTTATATTCCTATTATAGCTTGGTGGATTGCTGGTGGATATTGTTAGCACTGTTATGAATCTTCCCAAAGATCTTATAAAAGCTGCACAGTTAGAAGATCATGCATGCTCACGAATGGTTAATGCTGTTGAAAATGTTGCAGAGTTCACTTCATCTTTACAGTCTCATAAAGTAAGTTCAATAAACAAGTTCATGGCACTTGTTTTATCTTTTGATTTTGACTTTCTTTTTAACAATTGGTTTTGCATTACTTCTAAATACACATAGTTGAATAAACTATTGCATTGCGGGAAGAAGGAATTGAGACAAAGAATGGAAATAATTTAGTTTAGGATATAGTTATAAAATGTAATTGTCATCAATGAAATTGATATTATTGGATTTGCTGAAACTTGGCTTCATCTAAACATCATCCACGAATTCTTGGTTCAGAACTGCAATTAGACAAATTTGATATATTTTGAAATTATACAAATATCAACAATATCAAGTATAACAAGTGGCAGATGATTAATTTAGCTGAGCACTAGGAGACAAAGATGATAAATATAAAGATGATAAAGGAGAAGAAGGTAAAGGTGATTAAGGAGAAGATAAAGGTGATGATTAAGGAGAAGGAGATAAAGATTATAATGATGCAAAAGATGAAGATTATAAAAAAGAGAATAAAATTGTAGAAGAAGATAAAAAGGATGAATTTGTAGAAGGAGAGGAAGTTCTTGAAGATGATGAAAGAGAAAGATAGAAGTGTTGGCTTAATTCCATTCTGAGTGCTCTGTATTTCTTGACTGAATCATGAATTCTCAGCGTTGTTATTGCTCTCTTAAGAAGTCCTAGAACAGCAGGGCCTGGACAGCGAGTGGAAGGTGTTGAACCCCCCACTGGGGTCATATTTTAAGTAGTGATAAATATGATAGTTAATAGGGGTCTACTTTCTTGTAAGTAACAAAATTTTGCTTTGGAATTGTTCTACTTTAAAAAAAATGAATGTATTGCTACAAATTGATGAAGCATTTCTGCATAACAACATTGCTGCATTTCCTACTAAGATAGTGAATTCTTCCATAAAGGAATCTCTTCCTCACTTTTACATATTGAAATCATAACACATGCATTTAAAAAAAATAGTTATATGCTACTAACATTTTGTTACATAGTTACACAGAATTTTGTTAGGTTTCTCAATCACTGTTTCAGTTTGTAGGCTATAACCCACTAGTACACATAATAGGAGTCAACGGTAGAGCAGAACATGCCTTGTACCAAATAGTGGTGTGGCTAACATTTGGGACTGAGAAACCTAAAAATTGAGGATGAAGTGCAATTTTTGGTTTTTTCAATGTTTTGTAAGAAAAGGGCTGAATACACTGAAGCAAGTGGCAAAAAGACATTTTCATTTAAACTTTTGAATTTTCAAAAAATTGAAGATAATTTTTTTAATTTCTTATGTTTTATTTGGTTATGAGTTTTTTAAGTAATGGCTGAAGTGTTAGTAGGATAGAAATTGCAATATTGTAGTATTATGTAACCTCTATAAATGCAAGAAAGCAAGTGCTGCTGTTGCTGTAGCACCTTTAATTTACTATCTCATTTACTTGGTATGTAGGAAGTTATGTTTAAAAAATATGGTCCCTTATACTAAAAAAGTGTTGTTATTTTCTTATTTATTCTTCTTCCACACAAACATCCATCTATCCTTTTCTGTCTATCTGAATACCTCTCACATCTAATCTGTGCACTGAATGCTGGTATTTTTGAAAAATTAATATTCCTTGATTGATTTGGCCAAACAATAAGCAGTACACATTTGTAACAATTCTTTCAATTTTAGAAATTATTGTATGGGGCCTATAGAAGATTTTCAAATATTTCTTAGAGATGTTTCCAGTATTTCTACTCAAAAAGAGGAAAGAGTGCTTATAAATTTTGTCCTATTTTCATTTAAAAACCTCTTAAACTTAGAAAATACACACTAATAAAAATACATAATGACATACGAAATACATAAAAAGATAAATTTCCATGTCATTTTGATTCAAACTATAATATTTATAAAAAATACTTTTACAAAAGAGGCTGGTGGCTTAGCATATTGGTCAGCGTGATCGCTTTCCATGACACAACCCATGTTCAATTCCCGGTTAGGCAAGATTATAGTGTGCGTTTTTCTTGCAATGTCCCAGTATTTGTTGTTGTGTGACGATGAGAAAATTCACTCCTCAGGTTGAGTAGGCCAGAATACAGTATGGGGGTGTCTTCATGCCAACCACACGTACCCCCTTTACCCATGGTGGCAAGGCTGGGATGTTTAATTTTTAATATACAATTTTTATTTTTCAAAAATTAAATTAATTATGTTTTTTATCCAAATCCTTTTAGTTTTATTTGGTGTATGGTTTTACAAAGGATGGGTAAAGTAATAGTAGGATACAAGTTGTAACAGACTGATTAACAGTAAAACCTGCTTGAAGCAGAATGGGAATAATGTGGAAATCTGCCCATTGTGAACTTAAACATTTGTTTTGGCAAGTGTAAATTCTATAATATTACATTGTATAATGCAGGATCTTGTCTATTGCAGAAAAAAAAATACTGGTACTATGAGGTTCTGCATTGAGCAAGATTCTCTATGTATGTAGCTGTTACAAATAACACGAGTAGATGACATGAGGGTGATTTGAGATGGTCTTTTAAGACCCTCACGTGCACCATTCATAAACCTGCCCATGCCCACTGGCAACACATACAACTTCTATGCATTCATAAATATGTTTCTGTGTATGAAGCCAACAGTTTGTTCCATGTTCTAAAAAATTCTTGGATTGTTTCTTCCCATGTGTTAAAGAGTGTGTTATAAAGAATTTAAACAGTGTGGGCAAGTCTTGATTAGCTCTCTGGTCTTAAGTCCATATTTTAAAAATCTTTATCAATGTCGCAGTTAATCAAAGATATGTGCAAGTCTTAAACAAATCACAACTTTACTCCTAAACTTTCATGTTTTATTTAGTGGAAGTGTGATAATAATAATAATAATAATAATAATAATAATAATAATAATAATAATAATAATAATAATAACAACAATAATAATAAGAATAATAACAATAATAATAATATTTATTGAGTCGCATATACAATTACAATCGTGTATGACGAGTCAAATATGATATATTTAGAGGGAGTACAATCGCATCATCTTCTGGGGAGCAGCGATTGAAGTTACATTCATTTTTATTTTTATTGCCCAGAAGCAAAACAAGGGGCCATCTCAGCATTTGCTCAAAGGACCAGGGAAAATGGACAAAAAACCTGATCAAGATGGGGTCATTGGTGTGCTATAGATATCCATAAAAACTGACAAAATTCCTGACATATTGCATTCATGATATCTCAAACAAAACTTCAGTAATAGAATTCAAAAATAAAAACTCCAGTGAGTTCCAAATTAAGTGTTGGGTGAATTTTGAGTTGTAGCCATTGTAGAATCATGACTACAATCTTTCTCAAAGGATTCCAGAAGTATTGATAGGTGTGCGAAACTATCAATAGAACATTATGAATTGAAAGAAGAATTCTATACTGAAGTTCTATAAAACATTAACTGTACCAATTCTTCTGATAGATAAAATTGATTAACATTCTTAGACAGATAACCAATTTAACCTGTTGAAATGATGTACCATGGGATGAAATTCATTGCAAATTAAAAGTATTGAATATTAGTGCAAAGATCAAAGAAAATAGAAAGTTTAGACTGAATGAAACACTAATCTGGGTCTTGAAAATAGTCCAGTTGTTACAGAGTTATTTGACAACATTGTAATTCATCTTACATTTGTTTCTGCTAAACTTCACCTAGCAAAGAAATAGAACTGAAATATTGTTGTAACATGCCTATTTACTTAGTATAACTTGTATTAATTTAATGATTCTACCAGAGACAGAATATCGTTCATTAAACTGCAAAATGTTGAAACCCACAAGAACTAAATTTTACAGGAGAGCCGAAAAACACGATTTTCCTTCAGAGTTTCAAGGTAGATTTTGTATAACTGCACTTATTTTATGTAGTTTTTTCTTGCTTCAGCATTACAAAGAATAGTATTTGATAATTTTTAATGGCTTTTAGATATGTGGCATACAGCACTTTGCATAAATATTGAAAACTATTGTTATAAATTTTGTTTCTATAATATGAGCAGGAAAATATTATTTTTGGACTCTGACATTTTGCAAGGAGGTGTATTCTTAGACAGTGAATCTATTTATGTCAAAATCTCTATTTTGTGGCTTATGTGGTTTACAACATTTTGCAGTTTCATGAGCGATGTATAATTTCTAAGAAAAAAGTGTTATTTTACTGACTAAACTGATTATCAGTGTTGAGAACAAAGATTAATGTGGACTTTGTTAGTATGATAATTTGTACATTATGAAATCTAACATAAGAGGTGGTATCAATTTCTAATGGTAATTTTTTCTTTGCTTTCTTTTTTCAGTCAAATTTGGCCATGGAAGTGAACAGAGTGAAGAGAGAAACGTTTGCTGGCCTTAGTTGCACATGGTTTGTTCATAGTAGTAAACTTTCTGGACGCTGGTTCCATTGTTCAACAAGTAATACCACTGCTTTATTTGGTGGTACCAGGGTATGTTTTCATAATTTTTAATTTTTGTTGTTGTTGGGGTCCTCTCAAATTGTACTGCTTTTACTTCTTTTCTGTGATCATTTTTTTTAAATTTAATACTAATTCTGAGATTTTTGGATTTAACAATTAGGTTCATTTACCCATTGAATGATATCTAAAGATATTCACAGGCCAAAAATTGTCTTAATAAATTAAATTAGCCAAGTATTTTATGTGCATATGTGTGTGATGATATTTTAAGTGTAGAATACGTGAAAATCAAAAAAGCCATTTGTGCTCTGCAAGTATTTTTTGTCAAGGTAAACAAAAGTGAGGATAGCAAATGCTTTTATGTCTTGAAGAATCTTTTTTCCAAATTCCAAGGTACCATATTTTTTTCTGCTCATACTGAGAAAATTAAAATAGGATTCTCGCATTTTAGGTTGTTGAAGCCTCTGTTCAGATACCACCATCGTTGTTTTATCAGTTGGAAAAGCAAGGTATCTCAACATCACAACCGCAGCAGTTGCTTGTTTCTATGTATGAAAACAACAATTTCTTCCCAAAAATGGATTCTGAAGATGACAGAGAGGTTGAATCATGTGTAATTGGAACGAAGTTAGGTAAATGTCATTGTTAATTTTATACTTTGTCATTTGCGACAAGCAGTGAATTATACTTTTATTTCATTTTCATGTGTTTGGTTTGTTATAGTGGGTCAAGAAGTTCAAAATCTCACAGAACCTGTTTATGTGATGTTTCGAGCTCCTGATTCTCTGTATCATTATTCAGATTCTCCACTTCCAGTATGGTGGGATTCTTCTTTAGATAATGGTTTAGGAGGTTGGAACAAGAACGGGTGTAATTTGTCTCATTACCTTCATGGCTTATTAGTTTTTCAATGTAATAGACTTGGCTACTTTGGATTACTGCAGAAAAAGGATTCATTTTATACTTCTACAGTGAGGTAAGGCAATAAAAGCATTGTATAATTTTGCTAGAACTTTAATATAAAAACTGTTAATAAGTTCACTAATATTCAGTTGAAGTACTATAATTCTCTACATTAGAGAGTCACTAGAGGGGACACTAAACAAGCAAGAAGTAATGTACTGTGCTTCACCATCAATTCAGAGTACTTCACTGTTTCTTGATACTGATGATAACTGCTTCTATTAGCCGTATTGGCTAAGAGGAAAAATACGTTGGTCAGTCAAGTAATAAATAATGTAACTCTCTTCATTGCTCTAGTTAAAACTTCATAATGTGAGAACTGTCAAATGGGCACTTTGCTCTTCACTCATAACTTTATTTCCATTTCCCCTTGATTTTCTGCTTTTCTTCAACATGAGGAAGTGTTATTAGTAATGTCGGTCATTTATTGATTTAGTTACCCTAATTAAGGTAACATAATATGGTCATAGGTGCATGGAAGCTCACCAGAAGCCAATTCACAAGTACAGTTTTTACTAATTGTCTGATGTAATAAAAGTCATTCAATATCTCTTTAGATATGTTATATATAAGTATAAATCAACAAAAGAAAATACATGTAAATTCAACATAAATGAAAAATTCTTTATTAGAAAACGTCACTTTAGCTGAGCATTACATTATTGTAGTCTCCCCTCCTGGAAAAATCCGGATTTTGCCACAGAATGTAGCGATTTTTAGGTTGTTGTCTTTTTAGATTGTTAATATGAATGTATCAAATTTGAATGCAGATGTGAATGAGTATAATTATATAAAGGTGTAACATATTTTTTGTATCAGAATTAAATACTTACTTTTTTAATCCTGTCCTGTCCCTCTAGGAACATAACATGTGTTGTCACTGTGTCTCCACAGTGGGAACACAAAACTGAGATTGGCAGCCAAGTGCTTTCTATTTACTGTTAATTGAGCATACTTGCATCAATAGAAAATGGGAAGAGTCCCTGATTAAAATCTAAATGTTTTGATGAATCCCTATTTTACACTTCAAAGTGCCAGAGAAAAGTGGTGTAAATGGTGGAAAATAATTTGTGCCTATAAAAAAATACAGAACCACAATAATTACTTTTATTTATCATACCAATGTTTAATTTACAAATTGTTGAAAACACATTAGTAGTTTTTAAGAAAGTATTCAATTATTTTACTAACTTTGAACTGTCTAATTATTAATGGTTAATAATGATTAGATCCCCTTTAAATTAAAGACAGTCATTATTTTTTAAATGAAGATATTTAGTACATTCTATCAAGAAAGCTTACATAGCCCTAATATTTTGACAACCTATTTTCATTGTTAATAATAAGTACTAGGCCAATCAATAACATTTAATACTTTATATAATACATTGATTAAATGTGTCAATTTGTCTCATGAGATGTCATCACATTAATGTCATAATTGGAACATTCTTGTTGAGGAATGATCCTACTACTTATAGATAATTACAAGAAAAAGTGGTTGTGGAAAAATTATACAACATTAGGGCAACATCACATGTGTAATACTTCCTTTGCAGAATGTATAAAATATATTCACTTTAAATGACTGCTTTTAATATAAAGGGAAGTTAAGAATTACTGAAGTGCTTGCTTATTATTTGTTTGGAAACAAAAGATTTATATTGTGAAAGATTGATACTGATGTGTATTTAAGCAATATTGCATAGTTTGTGAATGTGATAATGAGTTTAAATAAATAGAATGATGTATTTATATATTCATCCAAACCTGTTTTTTATTAAAGGACTGGAGCGAAATTTCGCTTCTCACATCCTGTGGTATATATTGGGAGTTTTGTCTGCATAGTATGCTTGACGGCTGCTATTGTCACCTATGCTCTATGCCATGCATCTATTCAAATGTCGAAGAAAGCTAAACATTCTTTGACTAACACTTGGATTGCAATGGCATTGCTCTGTTTTATGTACAGGTACTCTTCATTTATAGTCAATGATTTAATATAAAGGTGCTCTGATCTGTAGCTTTATTTTATGAAAAATTGTAAATTTTAGTTTTGTAACAAGTGCTAACTCAATAGAGTTAATTATTCTGCTCATATGTAATTTACTGAACTTAACTCGCATGCTTATATAAAGGAATGATAATCTTACAGTACTGGAATTCATCAAACAGAAGATATTAAAGTGTGCCAAGGTGTAGGTCTTGTTCTGCATTATTTGTCTTTGTCATCTTTGCTGTGGATGACAGTGACTGCCAGGTATGTTATATGGATTTCTCCATGACATTGTTTGTATAATGTATGGACATGTGAAAGCAATGCTCAATTAAAATTTCTTCTTTCAGTAATATGTACAAGAAGTTAACAAAATCTGATTCATTGGACACATTGCCAGAAGATGAACTTCCGCCTGATCAGCCTGTTGCTCAGAAGCCCCTTCTAGGACTGTACCTAGTGGGATGGGGGATTGCTCTAATAGTTTGTGGAATCTCTGGTGCAGTGAATATGCCACTGTATGCTAGCCATTGGCATTGCTTTCTTTCTACTGGTCCTTCTCTTGGTGCAGTGTTTGTACCTGCAGGAATTCTCATTTCATTTCTTGTGGTAATGTTTCTGTTGATTCACTGTGCTGCAAGGAATATTGATGCTAATGGACAACATTCTGAAGGTACCCAAGTTACAGAAAATGTTGATTTAGATATGCTGGATTCGAACATCACAAGTAATGGGGTTGGTGAAAGAACAAGCCTTCATAGTACATCTGCACCTACAGCGTCTAGTGAAGTTGAAGATCCTGAACATTCACCACTAATGCAGTTAAAAGCTCATGTCATAGTCTTACTTTTGTACATATTCACTTGGACTTCAGCATCATTGGCCACTGCAAAACCATTCAAAAATTATATTTCGTATGAAGAAACTGCTTTCAGTATTCTCTATGGATTTTTATCCACAGGTTTAGGATCTTTTGTTTTATTCTTTTACTGCATTGCTAGAAGTGATGTTCGCTCCCAATGGCATCTAGTACGTTGCTGGTGTAAGAAAAAACGAGGAAGATGTTGCCGAACTCGAAGTATTTCAGATACAAATCCCTCCCTTCCTCATACTCAACCTGTGCCAACTACTGTAATTGCTCACTCAGGTGGTGTGGTGGTGTCCAGTACAAACAGTGTAAACTCTTCTTCTCACAAATCTCAAAATAGTAATGCTGCTAAAGCAGCCACAGAGTTGAATGGAATTGTCCAAACAATGGTGAAGTCAGATCGGGATTCAGGAGGCAGCAGTGAAAACAAATCTAATGTTGATTTGGTGGTTTTGCACCGTCAGATGTACAGGTCCAATAACAGTGTAACCACGTATACTGAATTGTCAGGTGCCAGTGGGGCTGAAATGTTTTATAATCCACATCAGAGTACAGTTGCGAGAAAGTTCTTTAGAAAACAACGGCGACAAGCAAAGGCTGCCAATTTATGTTCTCGTAGAAGTGGAGATGGGATAAGAGAAAATGGTTCAAGTGATCCAAATACTCCTGCAGAAAGTGCAGTGTTTCTGTCTTCTGAAATAGATAATTCTGATGGGAAGAAGCATATTAATAATTGTCATAGAAATGATGATATTCAAAATGTTGGGTGTATCAAAGATTCTTCTTCAAAAGAACCGATTAATGAATCTGGAATGCCGTTGGAAAGACTTGTAATAGGGGCAGAAGAAGCACCAGTGTTCAAATCAACACATGTAGGCAGAGATGTTAGGAGCAGTATAGAACCAGTTGAGGAGGTTTCAGAAGAAGTGACATCACTGACCGCAGAAGTCGGTGAAACAGAAAGTGACTTGCAGTGCGGGTTAACCAATGGATCTGCTGATTGTGTGAGTGAACTTGGAAGTGAAAGTGTGTCTTGCCGGACAAGTAATGGTGCTTTGAGTACTTCGTATGATACACAAAATTACAGAACTGATCATTGTAGTTGGCAAGAACATTTGGATATTCCATCTGACATGGCTGGTTCAGATAATGGTAGCTACAAAAGTAGTGATTGCAATCGTAGCAGTAATTCATTTGCTTTATGTTCTGAAAGAACTCATGAAGGTATATCTGAGAAAGATGAAAATTATGAAGGAAAGCCGCAGTTAAGTACATTCACAAATCTAGTATCTCAAAATGCGTGTTTAAATGGCTTCAATGGAAATCAAATTTCTAGAGATATTCCTGTATCTCCATGTATTGAGTCCAATCCAATCAAGGAACAAGGAATAAATAGAAATGCTGATGGTTGTGTTTGTGATAGATCATATCCAGTTGGTAGTGACCAGTTTGTAAATAAAAGAGAAACTAGTGTGTAAGTTCTGCAGTTTTGTACATTACTCTTGCCAGATTTTAGAGATTTAGTTTCCTTCCATCTCATCTTAAAGATGATGTATATAATTATTTTAAAGAAATGAAATTTTGAAAATATCTATTGTGCCACAATAGAATAAACTTTTCAAGCTAGTTTTCTTTGTAATTCAAGGACCTGCTGATGCATTGTTCTTGTCTTCAAATGTGGCAAATTTAATATGCACTGTAGGATGCATGATATTGTAGAATAACAGTTGATATTGAGTGAATTTTAAACGTTCCTAGCAGTTGCTTCTAGGAATTTGTTAATAAGTGAAGGGAGTGCGTTTTAACATTGGTCCATTTTATTGCTTCAAAAATAATAAAGTAGGGCACATGTAACTTGTCAATATTCTAAATGTGATTTTAAGATCATGCTTTTTGTTTTCCGCGGCTCTTCTTCCTTTTCACTAATTTTTCACACTTAATTTTTTTACGAAAAACACTCCTAATCATGAATTGCCATATAATATAGAACAGCATCGTTATGGCTTTAAATGGCATAAGCTCAACTATGAAGGACAATAAAACAAGCTTGAGATCAGTTTTCACTAGATATCATCATAGAAAAATACTTTGTAATAATAAATGATATTCATTATTAAGTATCTGTTTATTGTTCGATTGAAAAAAGGGGAAAACTGACAAATATTATTTTTTTGAGGCAGGTATAATATCTGTTTTTCCAGAATTCTTGCTTTATCCTTTTTGGTTTTTCATCTTACTTAGAAAACTATTATGTTTTAATTTTATTTACGTGTTGCATTCACTGTTATTAAAATACTTTCTGTTGTCTGTTTTTTGGCCAACTTTGAAAAGAAATGTTAAAAAAACTGTTAATAGAAATATCATTAACCTGTATACAATTTTATGAGGAAAAACAAAATCAAATGTCAAAGTTCTTTGCAAAGGAAAAATTACATATAAAAAATAATATTTAAATCAATGAATATTTTTAAGAATTGGATAAATATGGTTTTCAGAAAAATGTCAAGTGTAAAACTAAGGATGTATTTTAGCATGTAAATTAAATTTAAAACTATGATTTTCTTAAAGATGGCAGCAAATATTGCAAATTTCATTTTGTAAAATATTAAAAGTCATTCAGATATCTGGTTATGTATAAATATTAAATTATATATCATATATCCGTTCCGTATGGGAGAAAGGGAACAATTTACCACTCAGATCTCACAAATTTTATAGTAAGTACAATATATTAGTATAAATTATTTCAATTTTTTAAAATATCTTACATTAGTATTTAGTTTATTAAGTATAAAAAGACTTTGACAAAAACTGAATAACTGAAAAACACTGAACTTCTTTCGCTTCCTTTGAAATGTCACATCCCATTGAATATTCAACTTGTCAAAATTGAATGAGTTCTAGATTCTTGTAACTGCCAAACATGAAGACTGATTAAGCAGAGGTGTACTATATGTAGTTAAACATATATGAACATTTCAAATGAACCTTTATGAACATATCAAATGCTTCGCCCAAGATACCCTATCTGCCGGTCAGATTCCAGGATATTGGAGCACTACTGCCTGTATTGGTAGATTAATGTTTACGTATTTCACAAAAATGTGAAACTTCAGTGCCAAAATGAAAGTTCATGTATGCTGTTTAATTTTTTCTTGAATCCAGTTCTGCATAAGCAATTTAAGATGTCATTTTATGGTTGTTAACATGATCACTACATAATTTATTAATGCAATTATTGTGCCAGATTGTTCTTACAATATTCAAGAATCGTTCATTTCACAGCAGAACTGGATGTTAGAAAATTGACAAGTTAAAATGTGTATATCCTTCGATAAATGTAAGACATGTATTGCTAAATAGTTTATCCTAGTGACTATCAGAGTGACAAAATACTTCAAATGTTTTGAATATTGTACAAATAATCATAATACTCATAATACTTAAAAGATTGTGCATTTGCATAAAATTTGTAGAAATATCTTGCTGTGTCAGTTATTAGACAGAGCTGTTCCTCTGATTTTAACTATTTTTTAAATGATTTATTTTTTACAGGTTTTATATTGTTTAAGGTTTTTAGTACAAAGATGATTATTTTTACTCTTAATTCTTGACAATTCACTTAAGAGCTACAAGACTACACATTACCCTGTGAGTATTAAGTTTTAGTGAACACTTAATATGTATGTACAAAATTGTTGTAAAGTTGTGCCATTGTGATTGTTTATTTGTAATGTGTATATACTGTAGAAAGAATAATTCTGTGTAAAAAATAGAATTAAAAAATGAAACAATAAAAATATGCAAACTATCTCTGAGAATTGCATGTCTTGTACATTTTTTTCTTTGTGCAGCATTGCTGTTTACTTGTATTTAATTAAAAATATATCATGTAATGAGACTGGAAACATCTTGTTTATTTCTATTTTATCACCCTCATATTTCATGTCTGTAAGATTTGTTCCTCAGATGTCCTAAAAAATGCCAACTATTAGACTTGACAAAAAAATTTATGTAATAATAATTCATTCATAATATCTTATGGATGTAGTATGTATATTCCTTACCAGGAACATTTGTTACATGTGCAGTCCTATCCATCATAGTTTTATTCTATCCATCATCTTAAATTGTGAATTAATTGTATCTCGTCAATCTTTCTCACATTAATGTTTCATGTATTTGTTTAAATGAATTTTAAAAGTTGTCGCACTATGAATTTCCGTAAGAAGTACTAAATTGAGTTCAAACATTTTATAACTTAATACAAATTTAAGTGAAATAGTAAACATTTCAAGTAATACGTTTGTGGTCAGACCATAATTATATAATATAGTTAATTTTATCCAATATCCATGTATAGCTTAATCCAATCAAAACAATGTAGTACCAAAAGTGGTAATAAATGCAAATCTTCATATTACATAAACCCTAACAATTTAACTGTGTCATGCCAAACTCATTTTAAATGCATCAGATTCTTGTGAGTACAAGTACATTTTAGTGTTCACCTCAAGCAGCATACACAATTACAGAATCCATTGACAGCAAAGAGTGTATGGTCTCTGTAGTTGTGCTATATGGTGTTCCCATGTAGATGAATTCATGATTACATACAATGTGTACAGTGAATGGTATTCTTTGTATTAGGTTCTGTGTGATAGATGAAGACTACAAAGGCATAAACACGGGTTATTTCTCAGAAAATATAAGTCATTTAAAAAAATTCAAAATTGAGATTGTTAATTGTTGCTGGTCCATCCCTAGAAATAAAACCACATAATACCAATAATAAAACCAAAAAATTTTTTTTTCCTTCCCAGGTTGTTTGATTGACTATGTACCAATTGTACCACGTCACAAATTCAGTTTAACAAACTAACACAACTTCAGTCATCATATTTATGTTCATCTTGAATAACAACTAGTGCGTAGAAAACAACAGGTTGTTTAATAATAGATTCATACATCTGGTATTTCTAAACTGTGTTTATATATAATTATTTCATTAAATAATTTTTACATTTACATATATACTACCAGATCTCTTATACTAAATATTATACAGTTTCATGTATCAGTTTATGGTATACATATTTTTATGTATATTTACTTAACTTAAGAAGAAACTCATTTCTAAAATTTAATTTTTCCTAAGACTACACAAACTTATGACCACATTCTGGGTTTTCACAGGTGGCTCATCCTGAGAGTACGTTTTGTTTATTAGGCATTTCATGAATTCCTTAATTTGATACATTTAAGATCTTGAATTGTATTTAGCAGTTGATTTGTTTTCCCTGACAAAGATTTCTGATGGTTTTTAAAGTTTTGTATAACCAACAAACTTGTTTATTACTCCTGTTTCTGATAAAGTTATGTACGTACATCTTTATTTTCCAGTGTGTTTGCTTTGAACTTCATTATCAGTATTGTGCTGTATATGAATAAACCATGTACAGTTAAGAGATTCCATTCTCAAAATTTCTTTTTACACATGTTTTTTTTTCATTTTGCTTGTTCTAGTTGTTTGTTTCTGCTAAGTGAGAGTTCATCACATGTATGTTGTAAATGTACCACCCTATGTATTAATGCCAAAAAGAGTTTGTGAATATGTCAATGACAGAGAAAGTCTGTTCTAGGTTCAGTATTTTTACAAGCTTAAATTTCTGTTTCTTTATGTTCTATGACCCTATGAAATGTGTGAATGAAACAAAATTGTAAATATTAAACTTCATAACCATGGAACAAACCCATTCCATATTGTTCTATGTTTTTTAAGAAGTTGTAATTCAATTCCTTAATGTTTTATGTTCAATTTTTCAAATTACCAACCTTAAATTTTGCTATATAAAATATTTAGATGCTTACATTTGAATAGTTGTATCACAAATATTATGTTGTTTGTTCCAAGTATGTGGCCAAGTTTTTTTATGGTTTGGAATACATAGTATTTTTTAAATTTTTCGTGAAAGACATAGGCCACAAGCGAGATCATTGTACACTTTGACATGAGGGTATTTTTGGCCAGATGGGCCATGATATAGCAAGTGCATTGATTAAAACATTTGATTGTAATTCTCAAAGGTAGACCAAATATGGCAAAAATCATTTTGTTGTCCCTGAATAGAAAATCTGACATCTCGTACGTTGATTCAATGCATGCAATATATTCATATATCAATGTATTAAGAAAACCTTTTGTCAATACATATTAGCTTCTTAAAAACCAGGTGGTGTAACCCACATTTTTCTTGTACTATGATATTTAATGATGTACAAGAGTTTTTATAGAAAATATTTTTTTTTTTTTTTTTTTTATATGTATGTTTCGAGAAGTTTAATTTAATTCATGTTAACTATACTGATTAATTTTGTTCAGACTTGATGTAAGGGCCTAAATGGAGTTACCCCACTGGTGATATGAACAGGTAAAGGATATGAGAAAATACAAAATGTTGTAAACAATGAATTCACATATTTTTTGTTACTTATAAAAATCATAAAAAGGGAGAGGATTTTTATGCGGTAAAAAAAATTTTTTGAAATGTCCTTTTAAAAATATGCGTTTATGGCCTAAAAATTTTGAAATATTCACTTTAATATGCAATTAAAATTGAAAATTCAGAAAAAACATGCTTTGAATGAAAATATACTTTTTTGTGTAAACATAATATAATCTACCCCACATTGCGAGATAAATAATTGAAGTAAATATTCTGATGAAGTATTGTATGTTTTGTTATAAATCTTCTGACTGGTTTAAAAAATAGTATGTTATCAAGAAATATCCAATAGTTGCACAAGTATTTTATCATCCATAGAAAACAAAAAAACGCACTGTGTTCTTGTGCATCAGTGGATGCTTACAAATAAATAGATTCTATGTAATGTTTAATAGATAAGTCTCTGTTTTAACAAAATATGCGCCTGTAATTACATGAATATGCATCAAGATGAAAAATCAGCCAAATGTTAAAAAAATACAAAAAATTTGAGTTACAGTACTTGAGCTATGAGAGAGTAAGAAAAATATGAATATATATTAGTATAAATATAATTTTTTGGTCTCTGTAGATCAATGATTAACATAATGATAATATTTAAGATCTGCAATTGCTTAGTTGAATATATTCACAAAACATAATGTTTGAAACAAGATAAAATACTCAGATAAACTTTTGCATGATTCTATAGAATATTTTAAATAAGAAATTCAGCTTTGTTCTCACAGGTTTTTTTTAGATACAAGTATGATATTATCAACTTATGTGTTGGTTATATATACTTACATATGGGTTATATATATTCCCCAACTTATATATTAGTTATTTTTGTAATTATTGTCATTAAGATCTTTTTGTTTATTTATAGGAAAATATATATATAAAAAGTCATAGGTAGATCAGGGCTTGATTTGTGCTCTGATGTCAGTTTCTTTACCTGTGAAAAGGATTTAATAGGGTGGACAAGTAGTTACTGTTAATGCCATTGAGTGTTCCTGTGTTGTGAAGAGTCAAAAGGTGATTTTTGCACCCTCTTATTTTAATTTAAAATTAAATTAAAAAAAAAAAAGGTTACTAATGTGCCTCATGCATTAATACAAGAAGACGGATGATTAAGTGTGTGATCTAAATTTATTGAAAATATAGACAAAAACACAACTGAAGGGGTGGTATCTTCTTGATTGCAAAACTGTTATATGCTGTTTTTAAGATGCATTTTAAGGATTTTTTCTTTCTCAAGAATATGACATAGTGTACTGCAATAGTATTTAATAATTGCTTGTCATTAGGACTTGCTTACAGCATTGATGTTTGTTTACTGATATGTCAAAAGTTAACTTAGAAGCTCTTCTCCTTCTTAACGAGAATAAAGTTCACATGCTATTAATATGAAAACATAAACCTAAGGAAAACATAATTCTAGAAAAGTTTCAATAGAAAATTATCAAAAATATAAATGGAGATCTTAGGATTGCTCTACTATCAGATTCACAGATTAGATGGGTACCAAAGTTCTGTAGTTTTAAGTGTGAGTGGGAAAGTAAAAACAACTTAAAAAAGTAGACATTGTTCATCTTTCACTGTGGGTGTAAGAAATGAATATTCCCTTAATTGATGAAAAACGTATTTCTGTAGAATCTTCATATCAAATTCAATAAACTTCAATGAATTTAGTGAAGATGGTACAAAATGGACAGGACTGTGTGAACTGAAAAGAGAGGTTTCCGAAAATTAGTAAAGTGAAAAAGGAATAAAGAAGAAATTTTCAGCAGGACCACAAATAAGAGAACTAGTAAAATAAGCAAATTTTTAAGGAAGGGTAAATGAATTAGAAAAAATGTGCATGGATTTCCTTCAAGAATTTAGTGAAACACTTTTTGGGCAAAAAAAAAATAAAATTGACAATTATAGAGAAGAAGTAAATTAACAAATGAAATTGCATGAAGATTTGGACTATAAAATATCTCTTAAGATTCAATTTCTTCACTTTCTCTTGGATTTCTTTCCAAAAACCCAAGGGCTGTAAGCAACAAACTCAGTGAGTGCTTACATTGGGTTACATCAACTATGAAAAAAAGGTACCAAGAGCAGTGGAGCTCAAGTGTGTTGACATATTACTGCTGAACCTGAGGCAAAATACTCAAGGAGATACTCAATTAACACCTTTTAAGTATATTGAACAATTGAAATTTCTTCTGTCTATTTCACATCCTCAAAATACTTCAGTGTTCTTGACATAGTTAAATAAGTTTCTACTGACTATTACATAGGAGAACCAAAATAGTAATAAATGGAAAATTAGTGGAACAAGTAAACAAATTTTTGTACTTCAGAAATATTATAAGTGTATACAACTAAAGGAACTCAGGAAGACAGAAAACACACTTAATAACTACAATAGAATAGGTGGAACAATTAACTGGTAACAATCACTTGTAGAGACATGGACTCAGAAACATAACTAAAACTCCATAATGTTGCTGTTAAACCTAGATTCATGTAAGGATTAAAAAAAAAATTAAAAAAAAAAAAAAAAGGGGGGGGGGTGGATAATGAAAGAGAGAAGTAAAAACTACAGACAGCACACATGAGATTTCTAAGACACCCCATGGGAACTTAAGCAAAGTGAGCTTAAGAAATAAAGACATAAGAAAGAAATTAGAAAACAAAGATATTTCCAATGAAGATCAGCCAATAAAGTTCTTGTGGTAGAAAGAAAAACTGGTCTTGTTGTAGATCAATGTTATTTGCTTTCTTTTGATACAGTTTTAGAAAAGTTTTCTAGCTCATTAATTGGTCAATAAATTATATAATATATTTTATATTTTAAAATTAAATTAAAATAAATATTTTGAATAATTAGGTTTTGTATTTTTTGTTCACCCTTTTTTATAATAACTATTATATTAATACAATTAATAATTTTTATATTATTACAATTGTGTATGACAAGTCAATGTGGTGTCAATGTTGTGAGGAGAGAGCAAAGTTACATTACTGTTCAGGAGTGAAACAAGGAGCCATCTCAACATTTGCTCAATGGACCAGGGAAACATAACAAAAACCTGATGAAGATTGGGTCATTAGCTTAGGAATTATAGTAGAATACTTTCTACAGATAGATTGGGATATTATACAGTAGATAATTATTTTTAGTATCAAATAATTTAATATTTCAATATTTGTACAGTTTCATGTTTAAAGTAAAGTAAATAAGTTGCGATATTTAAATATTTATTCTGCAGGAAATTGACCAAGAATCAGTGTGTAAATGTTAGTATTCTAATGTAATTAACACAATTCTGGAGTGCAAGACAGTTTTATTTAGAAAATTTGTTTGAATTTCGCGGTATATTACTGTTCTGTGTGTGCTGCTCTCTAGACGTTCGTCTGTGAGTTTATTTGAAGCTGTGACGTTTTGTGTCTCTGCGCTCTACGTAAATACGAGATATCGCGATGAATCAAGCGCCAGTTTCCTGTATACCCGCCAGCAAGATGTCGAAGGCAAAAAAAGTCATCGATGAAGCCAAAGAAATTCAAAATCCAGAGCTGGATCTGGCCGATAAAAGTATATCATCATTTGACGAGATGCCTGGGCTATGTAAGTACCGAGAAATGCCAGAAACGAAGACATGTCCAAATTTGGTAACTTGTCAGACAGGTTTTGCACGTGCGAATGTGGGCGTGCCCGTGCTTTCCGTAAAAGGTGCGGGTGCGCAAGCGTGGGAAGCGCGATATCCAAAATATGATAGAACTGTCATTTAATTTAAAAGTACATAGAAATATGATAATAGATAGAACACGATGCAAAGAATATATTTAATTTTATGAAGTTGACAATTTATCAATCAAAGGAATAATGTAGGTAGACCTATGATTGGAGGCTTTAAAATCAAACTTAAGTAAATGGATGAAGTAAATGAGTTCATCACCTTCAGACACAAAATGTGATAAAGCAAACCATACAATACATCAATACATCTTTTAAAGTGCATTTCAAATTATGTACATAAAAAGATATGTCTGTGATGTTAGGCTTTGGCTGGTCAAAGAGAAGGTTGATAAAAAGTACAACTCCTCCATTTCTCATCTTTGTAATTAAAAGCTTCAGCTTTATTATTTAGTACTAAAAATTAAAGTTTTGAATTCAAGTGTTTCAACTACTTCAGTGTATTTTGACATGCGAAAAATTATTATTTTGGAAAATTCAGTTAAAAGTTTTGGATTTACTACATAATGATGTTGACTCCATTAAACACAATGTTAACAATTAACTTCTCTGTTAACAGTTAATATGTTGAATATCACAAGATTAACACTTAGTCACAACAAAATTCAAGGTGAGTTACAAATTGAAACAAGTTCCAGGAGAATGGAAGTTACAAGGTTACTCCAAGATTAATTTAAGTAATTTATTTTTTTATCTAGTTGTTCCACCAGGACTTGCTAATCTAGTCAACCTGGAAATTTTGAATTTTTTCAACAATCAAATTGAAGAGCTTCCTACATCGCTGTCTTCTATGCCGAAGTTACGAATTCTGAATGTTGGGTAATGTAATAAATGTATCTTGAATGTAGGGGTCTATTAGAAAAGTCATTAGATTTTATGTCAATGTAATAATAATTTTTTAAACAGTATGAATCGTTTGGATTGCTTACCCCGTGGCTTTGGAGCCTTTCCAGTTCTGGAAGTGTTAGATCTTACTTACAACAATCTAAATGAAACAACTCTTCCGGGAAATTTTTTTATGATGGGTAAGTTTTATTTATTTGTCTTTATTTATTTGTGTGTTTGCTTGTTTCCTTAACATCAAGAAACAGTAAAAAAACTTGTGTTATAGTACAGTAAAGTCAAGAAACATTTGTTGTATTACTAGTTTTGCAAACTTATTAAAAATTGTTTGCTATTAACAATTCACGTATCATGTTCTTATGGTTCTGTACAGAAACATTACGTGCTCTCTACTTGGGTGACAATGATTTTGAATTTCTTCCTCCAGAAGTTGGTCAACTGAAGAATTTACAAATAGTGAGCAATTTTTTTTCTTTTTCCCCTTTAAATACTATTGGAATAGAATGCTTTACCTATATTCATAATTTGTTTACAGTTGGTGCTTCGAGAAAATGATCTGATTGAATTGCCAAAAGAAGTTGGTGATCTGAATCGATTACGTGAATTACATATCCAAGGCAATCGTTTGACTATTTTGCCTCCTGAAATAGGTACAAGATTTATTACTGGATTATGTTAAAATTAAGATGACAAATTACTAGTAGTCATAATTATTTCTTAATCTTACATATGTTGTGTCGTATTCAAATTTTCCTTCTTTTGTATTGAAGACAGTAAAGTAATTGCGATAGATAGCAACCTAGATTACTAGTAAAATTCAATAATCAAATACATGTCTATAAAAGATATTCTGTGTATGAAGTTGATGCTACAAAGATGATACTGAAAGAGAAATGTATTACAGGTAATCTAGATTTGGTTAGTTCCAAGTCTGTGTTGAAAATGGAAAACAATCCCTGGGTGACACCAATTGCTGATCAGTTAAGTCTGGGTGTGCCACATGTTATGGATTATATTCGCACAGAAACATACAGATTGTAAGTATTGTTGTTAAATCTTCTATATTTTTATTTCTTAAAACACACTTGTGTGAATGAGAACACCTTCATGACACAAGGGGTTTGATTTGGTTTGTAAATTGATGCCTGCATGTAAGAAGCGCAAAAGTTTAATTTCCTGAATGAACTGTAAAAACTCAATTATATATATTTAGTGATTATTGGAAAATAAATGGAGCTTCACTCTCTTCGTACATTTTCTTGTGCTCTGTGGAAATGCTAATGGAGAAATAAGTTATTTCATCCGAAGTACCATCAAAGAATTTTCTCCATGATCTTACAATAGTGAATCTATTCCTTCATTGGAACACAATAAGGGATAAGGGCCAAAATCTATAGCTCATATGCCAATGCAAGTAATTTCTATTACATGGAAGCAAATAATTCTTGTTCCAAATACTTTTTACCTTTACTCACAATTCATCTTAGTATGGAAAAACGGCATGGATAGGTATTCCAGAGCTCAAGAAAATTAGTGAGGATTGTACTTCTCTAGACATTTCATCAGTTTTTAACTTTTTGGGAGGAGGTGGATGTTAAATAAGTAAATAAATATTGTTGTCTGTAAGGTGGTTTCTTGGTGAAACACTGGACATTACTAGATCACTGCACCATTGCTCTACACATTTTTGCACAATGCATTACAGTGAAACCTCTCTTAAGGACCACCCCCTCAACAACTGATTTTTCTTGGAATGGATACTGAAACACATATTATATGCAAAGTATGTGTCTGTTAACTGAGTTCTCCTCTCCTTGATGCAGTCCCTTAGTAGCAGTTTTTTTAATTTACCCCTTTTAAAAGACCACCTTCAAGAAAATTGTAAGGATACTGTACAGTACGACAAATTTTCCATAGTTAAAATGAAAATTGCTGACGTGTTTAAAAAGCGCTCAACAGCCATGTCCTGTGTCTCAGCTTCATTCGTGAGGAAATAGGAGGGTGGCTAGATTCCGGGAGTCAAGTTACAATAAACTGTGGCCACTGATATGGTATCATGGCTTCTAATGAGACGACAGACAAGGTGACCTAAAATTTAATTCTTTAAATTAAGTCTTCCTTCCATTACATTTCTGAAAGAACATTTAGTGTGGTAGAATATCAATATTGGAAGTCAGAGTTATCAATTTGCCCTGTATAACTCATGATTGTCATGTAGTGTGAGAAAAGCAAAGTTTGGAGCCCCGAAGACACCCTATGTTCCATCATATCCAAATGACAATGAGATCCTACACAAAACAATAGAGGCTCATTCCTCATAGACAATGTTTGGGAGTATTGAAACTAAAAGTGATTTCAAGGTATATTTTAACGAAAGAGAAGGATCTATAAATATGTTTAAAAAGATTTAAGATGGTAAATAATAATAATAATAAACAAATAAATAAAAACTGTACATTAAGAAAGCAAAACAAAACTTTGACCAAATGTTTCAGTTTTGTGCTTTTAGAGAAAAAATCACTAATTAAGTGACCACCCCTTCAAAATACAACTTTTTTCTCAGAACCAATAGTGGTCGCTTACCACCGGTTTCACTATATCTTCTGACATACTGAAAAGAGAGAAGGAATATTATCAAACTTGTTGCTTTTAATTCTTTTTTAAAATTTTGTTAAGTGTTGAAAGTTCAAGAAAGCTAACACAGAGAAATGTAACGATTAATTGTATTTGAAATGGATTTTTGAGTTAGAATGTTTCAAATATTTAATACATTATTTGCAGAAACTTCATTATCAACTGCAGCAACAGGCTGGTAGGTGATGCCTGTTATTGATGAACTGCAGACTTGGTGATAATCTTACAAATGTTCTTGGCATTTCCATTTTTTTGTCAGTGTTCTAATATTTATTTCTCTTAATGATTAGTTTAGAGCCTCTTCTGTTTATGTGGACTTCATTCTGTTTATGTGGACAAGCCATCTCCTTGTTCTTTTATTTTGTCTGTAATTTCTTTAGTTTCGTTTTTTTTTCCATGATGTGTGTGTACGGTTAATGATTTAGTTGCAAGACTCCACCCAGGTGGTGGAATTATTTTATCTGCACCTTAAGATTTTAGTCCTTAGTTGTCTGATTTTGTATCAAATTTTGTTATCCTTGCATGTCATTGGTTTGAATGTCAAGTTATGCAATTTTTAATTAGTTCCTTTGCTAATTTTTTCTAAAATTATAGAAATTTTGTCAAAGTATTCACTTGGACTGCTTTATGCTGCATTACACACGACTTTAAGTAAAATTGCGTTATTTCCTCAGTTAATTCAGAAATACTTGTTCAAATGATCTACAGTCTAAAAGAGGGAGAATTAGAACATGCCAGGTAAATTATTTATTTATGAATTAAAGTAATACACTTTGAAGTCATCAAAACCTGAAACCAAAGTTGTTTCTAAAGTTAACTTGAATAAAATAAAAATAAATTCATATTGCGTCTCGTGACTAGAAATGCTTGTTTGTTAGGGAGTAATATAATCATTATTCTCAAAATTCTATGTCAAACTAATTTTAAGCTTAATGATGGTAAAAATATTATTTACAAAATTGATAAATGGGAATGATGCTATTACATCAGATTAGGATGTGAGAAATAAGCAGACTCACTTAACCTGCTTCTTCCATCTGAAACACCACCAAATTTAACTGGCATTAAAGTTAAATACAGTTGCCACTATGCCTACTACAGTTTACAGAAATATGTATTGTTAAACATTTTTGGTTTCTGTGCCAATATTGGGATCTTTTTGTGGTTGTATTTTGTATTCAGGTGAATTCAACAGATACAATTAGAACTAGCAATTGAATAATTCATACAGTAATATATATTTCATGTTGTATGTACATTATTTTGTTATAGCTTGTATAATCGACACATAGCTGCAAAGGGTCCAGTTCCACCAAAGATGAATGACAAAACCAGAAAATTGTCTCGTGCTCGTCAGCAGAGTTGAAAATATTCAGGTGACATGGGCAGTCTTCCATTGACTCTTAACAATTTTAACCTCTTTAATTTTTTTATTTTTTTCATTTCTGCCTGCAAATTAAGTGTAAATTAATAAAGCACAAGAAACAAATATTTCTATTTTGTATAAGCATCTTAACAATGTGATTCAACAATAATTGTAAGCTGTATTGATATGCTTAAATAATCCACATTTTATTGTGAAACATAATACACTTGTCAATAAGAATGAAGATGAATAGAGATTTACTTGTATATTATGACATGTTGCCATTTTTATGAACATTCTACTATTATATCTCGAGTATTGTTATCTAATTATTGGTTAGTATGACATAAACTGTTAGCTTGTGTGAATGTATTAGTTACCAACCATTTATGTCTTCATTAAGTTAACTCTGTATTTTTCAGTAAAGATATTATTTTTAGTTTACTTCTGTTCTGTAAAAGAAAAATCTGTTTATATTACAAAGTTTTTCATTATTTATGTAAACATGATAAATGTTTACTAATAACACTATTGGAATTTTTTAAAAAGTATTATGTTTCTGTGAGTGTTTTTAATCTAGAAAGTCGTTCTATTTTAACAAATGTATTGTATTTTTGTTAACTGCTTTCAATGTGCCTTTTAATAAATTTTAAAATGCCCCAGAAAGAAATTTTTTGTTCTGAGGCTTCAGTAAACTGTCATGTTGAGTGTTTATTTATTTTTAGATATAAAAAAATGTGAATATAGTGTGTAAAAATTAAATTTTTGAAAATGTAAAATTTATGTATGTGTTAATATTTATTATTAAGGAATAAAGTAATTTGCTTACACATCTGATAATTTTAATAAAAAACTACCCAATTCTGCAAAGGTGTTAAAGTTGTCAGTTATTTGAACACCTCTTCAAACATCTTCGTTAAGCTCAAAATTATGATCTTGACACAAGAAAACAAGAAACAATGGTCTAGAAATACAGCTGTAATAATTTGAACATCAGTGATTGTGCATCAGTCTCCCATTCGGCATGTGAATCACCACATTGGTGGCCTCTCAAAAATTGGTCAATATAACACAGCCAGTCTGTGATCCTTGGGCAGTGGAGATTTATATACACGCCAATGATCGAAAATTATTCAGATAATTATTTGTTGTTAATATTTTGGTAAAGAAGTCTGGTGAATGGTATTAGGACATTTGACAATAATTACATGTTCACAAAATATTCGAAAGTTGTCGTCGAATTGTTGTTTCAGTTTGTTTTAGGGACTTGTTAGAAGTAATAAAATCATAGTTTCTCTTGAGAGTCTTCTTTGGGAAGATTACTATGTTGCTACATTAGAGTGCCAGGATTTTGAATTTATGGAAGTGTCACGATTTTGAGTTTCTTGAATAGTAGTGTGCAAGACATATTTGTTCTTGTTCTCAGTATTCATTTTTGGATTAGAAAAGTGTGGATACTTCCTGGGGAATTTTTCCCAGAAAAAGATTCCATATTTTAGATATACTAAATGTACATTTGCAATATCAAAAATCACCATAAAAATGAATAATGGGACCATCATAAAATCACTTCACACAAACAGAGGACTGAAACAGGGATGCAGCCTATCACCCAACATTTACAATATATGTGCGTACAGTCTCATCAAAAAATTGAAGAAGTCAGTAAATCAAGGTATACAACTTAACAAAAAACAAACTATACAAACTGTCCTGTTTGCAGATAACCAATTAATTTTGGTTGAATCAGAGGATGAACTCGAAGTAGCAACACATAAACTGAATAAAATAGCAAAGACCTATGACAAAAATCTCAACAACAAAAACAATGGCATTCCAAGGAAAGGAACAAAGAAGAGTGAAGATAATTTTTGAAGGGGAAATAATAGAGCAAGTAGCAACATCCAAGTACTCCCAGGACCTCTAACACAAAATTTTGAAACATAATAGAATAAATGGAATAATTAAAAGGCACTTTGGGAAGGACATGACATAAGAAACTAAATTAAGAATACATGACATGACAGCTAAGCCAATGCTATTATATATATATATATATATATCAGAAACCTGGATCCAAAAAAATGAGACAACTAAAAACTGGTAGCAGCTAAAATGAAGTTCCTAAGACTCTTTGGCTATACTAGACTGAATCGACAGAGAAATAAAGACATAAGGAAAAGATTGAAGTCAACAAATATAACAGAGGAAGTTAAAAAGAACCTGAAAAAATGGCTGTAACATATTATAAGAATGAAAGAAGGAAGATTCCCAAAAGGCCCTAAAATATAAGCCACTTGGTCAGAGAGATATATGAAGACCAAAAAAGAAGCGGATCATGAAGGAACACCTGGAAAACTGCAGTATTTCAGGTCTACTGCTTAACCAGGAACAGGCCCCCTGGCCTTCCCATCCTGCAATTCATGATGACTTATGGCATAACAGGACTTTGTGAGCTTCAGTAATATGAGAGCTCCATTTTAGAACATTTTGAATAGTAAATCCAAGGAAAGTTGTTTTTTGTGACCAATTGTGCATCAGGTTTTTCTTTAAAGAGTGAATTCCTGAAGTTAAGGAGACAACTTTATTGGTTTTATGATTTTGTTTTCTTGAAATCTTTTCACTCTAGGAGACCATTTCTGCTTCAAATTGTAAAAACTGTTGTGTAATGGTGTTGATAATAAGGTTTGTGTCTTCTTCAAGTAGGACCTATATTTTTGTTGTGTATAAGAAATAGTATATGTCCAAAGATTGTTCCTGGTTTAATTTATAATTCTAGTTTGGAAGAAATGGGAAAATCTTATCTTTAATGTGTTATATTGTAACTTCTTGACAACAATTATTTGACAAGTCAACAAAAGTATGATTTAATCCATTGATGTAATGCCTGTAATTGCTCAAGTTTCAAGTTTCAATAACAATCCAAAAAGTCAATAATTTCAAATACTTTTGATTTAATTAGAAACAGGTACATTTCTTTCTGATCTAGAGCAACAAGTATGTCATTTAAAAAAGAAAAGATGGCCGTTTCTGTAGATTGGAAACCATTTCCAAATCCATATTGGCAAAATGTTATTTGAATTGAGAAAATTTCTGAATCTATTATTAAAACATTTTCTAGAAAATATAGATTATAAGAAATATTAACCTGTGATTCATGAGACATGGGTGTTGTCTGTTTGGAAAGTTTAGACATTTCCTTTTTTGAGAGTGTCTAGGAAGACGTCTATCATCAAGAGTGGTTATAAATGTGAGTTATTGGTTCTAATATGTATGATGCAGTATTATTATTATTGAAGAAGTTAGGGATCCAGTCCAGAAGAGAATTTGTTTTTCATTTGACTGATTATTTTTAGTGTTTCTGAGGTGTTTACTTATATAGGCAATTTGGAATTTACATTTTGTGTTGTGAAGATATTCAACTGCATATTTCTGTTATTTACAAAAGTTTGATGAGTTAATTTTTTCCAATTTCTGAGAATTTACTGTTTTCTACAAGGATTCTTCAGGACATTATTTTTGTAGTGAAGGTCAGCGTATTCAATATTTCTGTTTTTAGAGTATGTATATTATAGTTTTTAGAGTAGACCCCACACTGCTTTTGTTTTGTTTTTGACTTTGACTTAATGTGTTTAGCATTAATCAATAGTTTAGGTGGTTTAATTACTTTCTTTAGAATACTTTTGTATATTTTATAAGCACAGGTGTGTGCACAGGGAGGGGAGAAGAGGAACTTGGCCTCCCTAAAATTTTGGAAGGGGTCCCATTAATAAAATAAATAAAACATCCTCTCTCTTTAAATATGGTCAATCTCTGATCTCCTTTTACACCTTGACAATTTGGAAAATACTTAGTTATACATTTTGCTCTCCACGCTATCTGGCATCTGCACAAATAATTTAACGTTAAATCAGTTACATTTATTAATTGTCTAATCAAAGTTATAATTTAATTTGTTGTAGATTTTATTAATTAATATTGCAATATGTTATATGGAAATAAGAACGTTCAATGAGAACAGGCCCAAAAATGAAGTTCATCCCCCTTGTTAGCACACACCTATGGTTGTAAGCAATGAAATCAGAACTCAATTGTCATGAAACATTGTTTTATGTAAATTTCCTTTCACATGATATTTAGATTCCTTTGCTTTTATGTATAGGTTTTGTTTTTTTTTTTGTTTTTTTCTAAGTTTTTATTATGAGTAAAATAGTATTGAGCATAGCCATCACTGACAGAGAGGACATAAGCCCCCAATATTTTTTGACATATTTTTTGAGAATATTGTAGAGGGCTCCTTACCTTTTCTATTGAATAGTCACACCAATAATTTGGTGCTGGTGACACCCATGAAATAACTTATGAATATGCTTATTAAGAAGTTAAATTTGGAATTTTTGTTTGTTTGTCTTGTACACCTCATTCCAGTTTTCTGAACTTCTGAGAGAGTTAAATATATACTTTTTCTTGGGATAAATTTTAGGTTTGTTTATAAAATGTTTCCTTCATCCCATTTCAAGTTTGGGAATTTGGGTTGTCTAATAACTAAAGCCTGTTTCATATGTAACAACTGAATAGTTACAATAATTTGTAGATATTATTTTTTTTTTTTTTTAGATATTCTGCTAGGTTGATATTTAGTTGTTTTAAGTTTAAAGATTTTGATAATTTTTGTAATAACTCACCTTCTACTTTAACCTACAGTTAATATTGAAATCCCCACATAATATAATTAGAATTTTTTTTTTTCATATTTTAAGTTTAACAAGAACAGGTTAAAGATTCTTTACAAAAATATCTCTATTTCTGTGGAGTTATGGTGACTTATGTAAGTACATACAATCCAAGATTTTTATTTTTGTGATTCTATGATAGCCATTTTGATCTACAAGAAGAGAGTACTTTCTGATTGTCATAAATTGATTATTATCTGTAACAAATAAGCATGTTCATGATGAAATATGTTTATTTGTCTTCGTGAGCCACAAGCTAGGGTGAATCCTGAAATATGTGTGCTAGCAAGTTGATGATTTAACCAATGATCAGTGAAGTAGAATATTGTTAAGAGTTGAAGATTTTGTTCGAGCCGGATTTCGAAATCTATAAGATAGTTTCTTAGACTTTATATTTTTGATGTAACACATGAATATAGTTGTTTTTAGGAGTTGTGGCTTTCCTGTTGAATGAAGTTGTTACAGGTCTTAAGAGAAAGGTGGTTTGTGGTCGCAGGGATGGACATTGGGATTAGAGGAGGAAGTTGGTGTAGATGTGGTGGTGGAGACGGTGGGGTAGATATTGGAGAAGTGAGTGTGATATGATAAAGAGCTCAACTCTTGTGTTAATATGGCATGTGGTTTCTTTTTGCCTGCCTAATTAAGGTAGAGTCCTAAAGATTTCGTGTGAGGCAGTCAAGATCAAGTCCTAAGGTAATTTAGGTCTCTCTCTAGTAATGTTTTAAATGTTTGCGATCTTAATCTCATTAATTTTGAAATGTGCCAGGGGGTGTAGGCAAAGATATCATAATGATATTTGTGAGTCTGCCATTTAAAATATTAATTATTTCAGTCGTAAATAAAATATTGACGTCATCTGTAACCATTGTTTTTGCAAAATAAGATATGGCGCTACATGCGAAAACAGAATGGAAGTGCGAGAAAGTCTGTTACTAAACGTCACATTGCTCTTGCTCCTCTTCAACAAATTTGAAGTGGCGCGTCTATGCGGCCCGCCGATCTCGTCTCCGGATATTGCGCAAGTCTCCCACATAAGCGCTGGCATCGCCACCGGTGGCCTACTGTCAAGTATCGGTCAGTATCGATTTAAATGGCGCTTGTGGTGGGCGTGCACATGATTCCTAGTTAACACG